AACAAAGATGTTTGTCCACCGAGAACTAAAAAATAAATATTAAAAAAAAAAAAAAATGAGTGTCCTAAAAAAATAAAAAATTTAAAAAATGCAAGTGATCTACACTATCAGACTCTATGCACTTCTCAAATCTGAGACAAGTGCTCAGATACCATGTAAGGATAGTGAAGGCTACCACATTATCTAAATTGATTAAGATGCTGAGGATAGATAATGAGAAATACCTATACAGGTACAAGTGCTGACTAAAACATTTGTTTTTGTTTTGTTTTGTTTTGTTTTGGTACTGGGGATTGAACTCAGGGCACTGGATCACTGAGCCACATCCCCAGCCCTATTTTGTATTTTATTTAGAGACAGGGTCTCACTGACTTGCTAAGTGTCTCACCTTTGCTTAGGTTGGCTTTGAACTCTGGATTCTCCTGTTTCAGCCTCCCCAGCCACTGGGATTACAGGTGTGCGCCACCACGCCTAGCTGACTGGAGCTTTTGATCAATATGAGTTCAATGGTTTTACCAAAATAGATATATCTACAGTACAGCTCAGTAGTAGAGTGCTTACCTAGCATGTGTGAGGCCCTAGGTTTCATCCCCAGCATTACAAATGAAATAGAGAAAGTGAGAAGGAAAAACAAAAATGAAAAACAAAACAAACAAAAAAACCCAACATTTTAATTAGATAGAGAGCCTGTTGAACTTATTTTTTTTTCCTTTTCAATACTGGTGGTTTATTATTGAGCTATAGCCTCAGCCCATTTTATTTTATTTTTATATATTTTGGGGGGTACTGGGGATTGAACTCAGGGGCACTCAACACTGAGCCACATCCACAGCCCTATTTTGTATTTTATTTAGAGACAGGGTCTCACTGAGTTGCTTTGTGCCTTGCTTTTGCTGAGGCTGGCTTGGAACTTGCAATCAGCTTCCCCACTGGGATAATTGGTGTGTGCCATCATGCCTGTCCCATTTTATTTTTGATTTTGAAACAGAGTTTCAATAAGTTGCCTAGGCTGGCAGCAGGGGCTGTAGCTTAGTGGTAGAATACCAACCACTTCCCTAGCTTATGCAAAGCATTGAATTCAATCCCCAGTACTGGGGAGAAAATCCTAAACTGCCCAGGTTGGCCATGTATTTGCAATCCTCCTGCCTCAGTTTCCTAAATTGCTGGGATTAGAGAGAGCACAGTCATTAAGACTGTTGGACTTTTTGAAAAAAATAGTCACAAAAACCCTCTCTACAACCTCTGGGAACCCTTAGAATAAACATCTTCCATCCTTCCAGGAACTGTTACAATTCTCTTATAAGGTACATACTCAGATGAAACCCTGCAGACACAGAAAATATACTGGTATAGATATCAACCTAAAAAAGACCCTCACTCCAGAGACAGAAATTTTTTCTTTTTTAGGCCTATCTACATAGAACAAAAGATAATAGTCTCTTTCCAAGAGTCGAGGAGACAGAACTCAAGCTTGAAAATACTCCTCAGCTAGGAGGAACATAGGGAACAGAGAGGTATCCTTAAGAGACTATTAGGGGCACAGACTATTAAGACTATTGAACACCAATAGATGCTAAAACCTATACACTCTTCCACTAAGCTAAAGTGAGACACTGGGAAAGAAGGACTTAAAAGCTCTGCACATCCTAGTGAGGCAGACAAGGTAACTGGGCCTGCATGGTGAAATTTGACTTAACAAAACTCTGTTCCTCTGCCAAATTAATATTTATATGCTTTCAAGGTATTTTTTTTAAAGGGATCAAGGAAGAATGGCCTATACAGTAACTACTTGGGTGTACAAATAGGCCAGTGTTTCTTGAATATTGCTAAATGACACATGCATTCTGCTGGGCATTCTGAACATACAACTTCCTTTGAAAGTAATGGCAGTCTCAAAAAACTCTGAGAAACATCTGTCAAAGAGTTTCCTGAGATGTTCAGACAAGAGGCACTCTAGGAGGGGCTGGTACCTTTAGGACCATAGATTTTGTGACCACTGATGCTCATGAGATCAATTTTCATGTTGTTGACATCAAGTGGGATTTTTCCAACAGCCTGGGCTGCATCCGTATGGAAATATACCTTTCTGGAACTGCAAATCCGCCCTGAAAAAACAAAACAAAAAACAGAGGGGAAGACCCACAGCACAACATTGGGAACTAACCTGACAGTGGTCCCCCATACAACATGAATTCTCTACCCACAGTAAATGATTCTAAATCCTCTTCCACCCCTGGCTCCACCTTTCCACTTTCACTCCCTCCTTCTCTTTCCCCTCCCTTCCCTGTCCTCCAATTTCTCTGCTCTCTAAAGCTCAAGGACAAAGTTCTAAATGACTATACTCCTGATATTCTGATGCATGAGATTCTTTCTTACCACCTTATAAACAATGACCTTTCAAAATGTCACATTACCTTTTAGAACCTTTTTGATTTAAAAGGAGGAAAGATTAACAAATCTGCATAAAGAGATTACAAGGAGAGCTCTAAGTGGAGATTAAATAAAGAGATGTTCTAAAGGAAAAAAAAAGTAGAGGGTTGCTTTATTGTTGTTTTGTGGTTGTTTTAGAAAACAACTAAAATAAAATGAAAAAACAGAAATGGTACTAGATCTGGGTTCAAATACTGCTCTGCCACTTATAATGTCCTAGAAGGCGATACTTAGACTCTCTATCTTTTGTTCACTCATAATGCTCTATAGAGTGTTGGAACTCTCAGTCTATCCCTACTTCCTCAGATGGACCCAACTAGTCAGCAAGGATCATGACACTCACCTATTTCTGCAATAGGCTGCTTTACTCCAATCTCATTGTTCACAGTCATAACTGAAACCAGGCTCGTATCTGGCTGGATGGTAGCCTCCAGTTCCTAAGAATATGTGGGATTTAAGAAGACTATATTCTGATGAAAAAGTCCTCCCTAAATAAGAATGTAGGCAAACATAATTTAATTTATTTAATTTATTAATTAATTTATTTATTTTCATTACATATTTTATTTGGAAATGTTTACACAAGTATGGGGAAACTAAAATTTTGAGGCAGTGGATGTTATTAGATTATCATCAGTTTATTTTAAAAGACACATGGAAATTATTTACATGATGAAAGATTTCAGAACTTCAGTGGAATGGGCAGCTTCATAGGATGCCATTTCAACAGTGATTTGTTTCAGTCTATATATTTTCCAAGAATGTCACCATCTCTAAATAAAAAATAATCGTTTCATCTAGAACTACTTTGGTGCCTCCATACTCTGGGAGAAGAACTTTATCTCCAACTTTCACACTAACTGGCTGAATCTCTCTACCCTTTCCTTTAGAGCCTGATCCCACTGCTACTACTGTTGCTTGCAATATTTTTCCTTGAGATTTTTCTGGAAGCATAATGCCTCCTTTGGTTACAGTTTCTGCTGCACTCCTTTCGACCAAAACTCAGTCAAGAAGTGGAAGAAACTTTCTAAATGCTTGTCCGGCCATGACTTGCGGCACCGCGCTCCGACTGTGCTCTAGGTTCGCCACCGCAAAGAGACCTGCAGAGTGGCCCTCGGAACACGTGGCAAAAATAATTTTAAAAGGAGGCCTTTTACTACTCCCCTATTGGGCTGGATAAAATAAAAATACTAGGGGGGTTGGCCAGGTGCAGTGGTACAAGCCTGTAATCTCAGTGGCTCCAGAGACTGAGACAGGAGGATCACAAATTCAAAGCCAGCCTCAGCAAAAGTGAGATGCTAAGCAACTCAGTGAGACCATGTCTCTAAATAAAATACAAAACAGGGCTGGGGAATTTGGTTCAGTGGTCGAGTCCCCCTGAGTTCAATATCCCTGCAAACCACCCCCAACCTCTGGGAACCCTTAGAATAAACTAGGGGGTTGGGAACATAGCTCAGTGATGGAGTGCTTGCCTAGCATGCACTGGGTTCAAACCACACACTGCAAAATAACAAACCAAACAAACAAAAAGATAATGACAACATAAAATGCTGGTGAGTATGAAAGAAACTGAATCATTCATACACAGTTGGTGGAAATGCAAAATGTATAACCAATCACTTAATAAAACAGTTTGACAGATTTTCTGGTTTCTTTTTTCTTTTTTTTTTTTTTTTGAGGTTTGTTTTGTTTGGTTTTGGTTTTGGTTTTTTGTTGGTAGTGGGGATGTAATCCAGGGGCGCTTTACCACTGAGCCACATCCCCAACCCTTTTTATTTTTGAGATAGGTTTTCACCAAATTGCTGAGAGTTTCACTAAATTGCTAAGGCTGGCCTTGAACTTTAAATTCTCCTGTTTTAGCTTCCCAAGCTGCTGGGAATACAGGCATGTGCCACTGTGCCTGGCTTGAGATGGTCTTGCACTGGGCATGGTAGTGCATAATTGTAATCACGGTGACTCAGGAGGCTGAAGAAGGAGGATCTGAAGTACAAGGCCTGCTTTGATAATTTAGAGAGCCTCTCAACAACTTACTTAGTGAGACCCTATCTCAAAATAAATTTTTCAAAATAGTGGGGATAAAGCTTAGTGGACTTGCCCCTAGGTTCTTTCCCCAGTATCAAAAAAAAAAAAAAAAAGGAGAAAAGGAGAGAGAGGGAGAGGGAGAGAGAGTGAAAGAAACAGCGGCGCACAGTAGTACATGCCTATAATCCCAGGGTCTGTAATCCTAGCAGCTCAAGAGGCTGAAGCAGGTGGATCACAAGTTCAAAGCCAGCCTTAGTAAAAGTGAGGCGCTAAGCACTTCAGTGAGACCTTGTCTCTAAATAAAATACAAAAGAGGGCTGGTGATGTAGCTCAAAGGTCAAGTGCAATCTTGGTACCTGCCCCCCCCCCAAAAAAACCCTAAACATAAAATTACCAAATGAATCAGTAATTGAATTCTTAGGCATTTATCCCAGAGAAAAATTAAATTCTCAGAAAACCTGTACACAAATGTTCAATGTAGCTTTATTCATAATAGCGAAAACCTAGAAACTACTCAGATGTCCTTTAATAGGTGGTTAAATAAACTATGGTACATATGTAACACAGAATATTCTTCGCTAATAACAAACTACTGGTATGTATAAACAACAATCTCCAAAGATGGATGTTGAGTGAAAATAGCCCATCCTAGATTACTTACTATATAATTCCATTTATATAACATTATACAGTTACAAGATTAAAGAATTTGAGAACAGAGCAGCATTTTTGTTTTTGTTTCTGTTTTCAGTCTTTGGGGATTAAACCCAGGGGTGCTCTACAACTGGAGCTACATCCCGGCCCTTTGTATCCTGAGAAAAGGTCTCAATAAATTGTGAGTCATTGGCCTTGAATTTCCTCCTGCCTCCTGATTAGCTGGGATTACAGGCATGCATCACTGCACCCAGCTAGATTGGTGGTTTTAAGAATAACGAATGAAGTGAAGGATCATTATGGTGATGAAATTATTTGTACCTTGACTATGGTAATTTTTATATGAAACCTAATGTGATAAAACAGCACAGAACTAAACACATACATATACACAATTCAGTACAAGTAAAATCCAAAAAAAGAGAAATCCAAACAAGAGCTGGGCACAAGGTGCACACAGTAACTCAAGAGATGAGGAAGGAGGATAACAAGTTCAAGGCCAGCCTTAGCAATTGAGCAAGAACCAGCCAATAACTGTGATGGCAAAAGTAGACCCGGTTGTGAAATAAAATTATAAAAAACGTATGGTAAGAAACCAATGCCTGAGAAAGAGGTCAATTCCACATCCCTCTCTCAGCCTTTCTCTTGGAAGCCTAATTAATCATGCATGAGTCCCTATGTTTTGGATTGTAAATAACTGCCCTAGGAGTCTGACTACTACTCCTTAAAATGAAACAGATGCCTGTGAAAAGAGCTCTTTCTTCTTATCAGTTTCTGTGAGCATGCTTATGCTAGAGTCCCTGCACAAGGCCTTCAGCTCACAGATTAGGACATTTTTTTTGTTGTTGTTATAGGTGGATACAATATCCTTATTTTATTTTTATGTGGTGCTGAGGATCGAACATAGTGCTTCATGCATGGTAGGAGAGCGCTCTACCTCTGAGCCACAACCCTAGCCCAAGGACATTTTTTAAAAAGAGGAAAAAGCCCCAGTGATAGAATAGGTCTAAGATGATGTCAAATAACCTATAAATATTGTAAGAAACTGTGGATCAGGGCTCAGATTTGGACATTTTGTTTTCCTCTGGGCCTGCTGGTGTAAAATAAAGTTTGGAGTTATCCTCCTGTCTGAGTGCTACTTGCTGCTTCTCGGCCAGTCTGTTTCCTGCAACATAACTAAAATTTAAGAGAGGACTCGGGATATAGATCAAGGGTATAGGACTTACTTAGCATGTACAACAAGACCTGCATTCAAAAACAGGGTGGGGGAAGGGAATAAAAGCTGATCCTCAAATCAATGTTTTTTTTTTCAATATTTTTTAAAATATTTTTTTACTTGTAGATGAACACAATACCTTTATTTTATGTGTTTATTATTATGTGGTGCCAGTGATCAAACCCAGTGCCTCACATGTGCTAGGTCCTGGGTTTGATCCTCATCACCACATAAAAATAAATTAAATAAAAATATTGTGTCCAACTACAACTAAAAAATAAATATTTTTTAAATTTTTTTATCGTATTTTAGAGTTGTAGTTGGACACAATACCTTTATTTTATTTTTATTTGGTGCTGAGGATCAAACCCAGGGCCTCGCACGTGCTAGGCCAGTGCTCTGCTACTGAGCCCCACAACCCAGCCCCTAAAAAAAAAAAAAAAAAGAATAACAGGCCAGGTGCAGTGACCCACGCATGTAATCCTAGCAGCTCAGGAGGCTAAGACAGAATTGTGAGTTCAAAGCCAGTCTCAGCAATGGCAAGGCGCTAAACAACTCAGTGAGATCCTGTCTCTAAATACAAAATAGGGCTGGGGGGCTGGGGATGTGGCTCAAGTGGTAGCGCTCGCCTGGCATGCATGCGGGCCCAGGTGCGATCCTCAGCACCACATACAAACAAAGATGTTATGTCCGCCAAAAACAAAATAGGGCTGGGAATGTGTGCCACTGAGTTCAATCCCTGGTACCAAAAAAAAAGAATAATAGAACTGTTCCTAAATTCATGAGGAATTGCAAAACACCTTAATAGCCAAAATAATCTTGGAAAAAACAAAAATAAAACAACAACTAAGTTGGATTGCTTATACTGCCTGATTTCAAACTTGTTACAAAGCTATAGGAATCAAAACAATGGTATAAGAATAGAAGAACAAAATTGAAATTCCAGAAATAAACCGATACATATATGCTCAACTGATTTTTTTTTTTTTGAGATTGGGCTTTACTATGTTGCCTAGTCTGGCCTCAAACTCCTGGATTCATGTGATCCTCTTGCCTCAGCTTCCTTACCTCATATCATGTACAAAAATTAAATTTGAAATGACCAAAGACCTAAATGTAAGAGATAAAAACTACAAAACTCTTAAAAGGATAGGACTGGGGTTGTGGCTCAGTGGTACAGCACTCTCCTAGTGGAGGTGAGGCACTGGGTTTGATCACCACATAAAATAAATAAAAAAGGGGGCTGGGATTGTGGCTCAGCAGTAGAGCACTGGCCTAAAATGGGCCGGACCCAGGTTCGATCCTCAGCACTACATAAAAATAAAGGCATTGTGTTAAAAAAATAAATTAATTAAATAAAATCAATCAATAAGTAGAAAAAAAGGAAATATATAAATCTTTATAACTTTGAATGTGGCAAAGGCTTTTTAGGTATAACACAGAAAGCACAAATGATAGTCAAAAGAACTGAAAGCTTTTTGGGGATGATGAAAATGATCTGGAACATGGTAGTAATGATTATTTAAACATTTTTTTTGGGGGGAGTGGGATTCCAGAGATTGAACTCAGGGGCACTCGATCACTGAGCTACATCCCCAGCCCTATTTTGTATTTTATTAGAAACAGGGTCTCACTGAATTCCTTAGCACCTCACTAAATTGCTGAGGCTGATTTTGAACTCGTGATTCTCCTGCCTCAGCCTCCTGAGCCACTAGGATTACAGGCCTACACAACTGCACCCAGCTCAAACAACTTTGTAAATACACTAAACCACTGAGAATTATAAACACTCCTGAAGAATGAATTTTATGATATGTGAATTACATTTCAATTTTTAGATGCTTAAAAAAACACTGTTAAGGTATTTTAATAAGCTGAGCGCAATGGCACACACCTGTAATTCCAGGGCTCTGGAAGCTGAGGCAGGAGGACCAAAAGTTCAAAGTCAGCCTCAGTAAAAGCGAGGTGCTAAGCAACTCAGTGAGACCCTGTCTGTAAACAAAATATAAAGTAGGGCTGGGGAATTTGGTTCAGTGGTTGAATGCCCCTGAGTTCAACACCTGGTACCGCATTCCCCCCACCCCCCAAAAAAGATATTTTAATATCAGGTAAATCTCTCAGGGTTTTTGTTGTTTGTTTCATTGTTTGGTACTAGGAACTGAATCCAGGGAGACTTTACTGCTAAGCTACATCCCCAGGCTTTTTCATTTTTAATATTGAGACGGTGTCACTATGTTGCTGAGGCTAGCTTCAAACTTGAAATCCTGCTGTTTCAGCCTCCCTAGTTGCTGGAATTACAGATGTGTTCCATCATGCCCAGCATCTAAGGGTTTTTCAGAAGTGAAAAAAATAAAGAATGAAAGTATGTCATTTGAAGGAAAATGGATAGAACTCAAGAATATCATGTTAAGCAAAATAAAAGCAAATTCAAAGGGTCAGAAGATTTCTGTCATATGTGAAGGCTAGAGAGGAAAAAAAAGTGGGTAAATTAAAAAAAAAAAAACATGGGGAGGGAAGGTCCTATGAAAATAGAAAGGAAATATAAAGGGGATCAAGGAAAGGAAAGAGGGGAGGAAAAAGGGAGATACTGGGGAATGAAACTGACCACATTATGCTGTTGTACACATATACAAATATATAACAGCAAATCCATTATTATATATAATTATAATGAACCAATAAAGATTAATATATATATTAAAAAAAGAAAAATATCAAACAAGTCCTTTAGAAATACAGTCTGGTGAGGATCTGCAGGATACTAGAAAGTGGGAGCTAAAGGACAGGCAACAAAGTCAAGTACAGAGGTTCCTAAGATTCAGGATTCAATCCAGCCAAAGAAATAAAAGAAGATGGGGTAGGGGATGTGGCTCAGTGGTAGAGCACTTGTCTGGCACATGCGGGGCCCTGGACTTGATCCTCAGCACCACATATATATCAATAAACTAAAGGTATTTTTAAAAAAGAAAGAAAGAAAGAAAGAAAAGAAGGGCATTGGGGCTGGGGATGTGGCTTAAGCGGTAGCGCGCTTGCCTGGCATGCGTGCAACCTGGGTTCGATCCTCAGCACCACATACAAACAAAGATGTTGTGTCTGCCGAGAACTAAAAAATAAA